AATCACATGTTTCACAACATAAAAAAGATCAACAATCGATTTTGTCACAAAGTGATAAAACGAGTGTCCATTATGCTTTGTTTGGGTCCTTCATCAGCAATTAAGGTACCTCATTTTTGGGGCACTCCACAAAGGGGTGTTTAAAATTGCCAGATCGCACCACCTTCTACCCAATCATATTCCTCCGTTAATCCAGCTTTCAAAAAAGAAATATATTTCATTTTTGGAATACAAACTTTATAAATAAATTAAATAAATTAATAAGTTAATAAGTTAATAAAAAAAGATGGCTTTAAATGATATTACACCAAGAAAAGTCAATTTATGGATTAAAAATATGGAAAGCATAGTACACCTTACTAAAACATTAAGTGAAAAACTTAATGATGATTTTTTGTCAGTGGAATGGGTTATACATAGAATAAATAGAATGTAAATATAATAAATAATTTTGAATTCCATATTAATAATATAAATGAATTACTAATAATATAAACCCTAATAAATTTATTTAAGGAATGGAAAAATTGAAAATATTACAGAAAAAGAAGAATCCTTAATTAGGAAGTACCTTTCTTATCAAGTTTCATCAGTGCTTATTCAAGCAATTGTAAGTAAAATTTTCTTTAGTTTTATTACTTCCATTAATAATTGATAATAATAATATTTGTTTTTAGAGTGCAATTATATTTAGAAATCCAAATAAAATATATGAAATTTGGAAGCAATTTACAGTAAAATATAATTGTCTTTATCATATTATATACATAAATCTTTTTTTAAAAATTTTAAATTCACATACATGCACAAATAATAATATTTTAGAAAAAATCATGTTTGGTGACCTATCAGCACAAATTAAAACTATCAACAGGATTACCAATTGAAACACCAATAAAAGAATTTGGTGATAAGGTCTTAAAAAAATTAAAGGAATTAGAATCAGCTTTATTATTTGATAAAAGATTTGCAGAGTTATGGGATGAAAATGCCATGCCACCAAGAATGTTAAGACCATATTATGTTGTAAATGATATTGATAAAGATGATATTCCTTACTTAGAGGTAACACAATATATATAGATATGTCAATAATACTATTTTTTCTAAAAAAAAATTTTTTTTTTTTTTTGCTAGTTTGTTGCCGAAAATTTGTTTAATATAAAAGTTATAGAACCTGATACAACATATAATTATGGATGCTCTTGTGAAGATAATTGCAAAGTTATTATTATTATTAATCATTATTTTAATTTTGTTTTTATATAATTAATGATTATTTTTATTATACTAATTAGAATAATTGTGCATGTATTGATGATCATATGGAAGGTAATTAATTAATTATGATAGTGTTAGTTAACTATATTAATAGTAATAATAATAATATCATTGAATTCAGGAGGATATCCTTATCAAAACAAAAGATTGATTCATTCTGATGTGGGAATCTTGTATGAATGTAATTCCAAATGTAGTTGTAATTCAAATTGCAGGAATAGAATCATTCAAAATAGTCCAAAATTAAACAGAACTTTACAGGTAATGATAAATGATTGATCAATTGATTTATTGATGAATAAATAAGTGACTAACTAATTAAATCAACGACCAGCTAATATCACTTTGCTTACATTGATTTTTCAATGATGATGATGAATGATATAGATATTCAAAACCAATAATAAAGGATGGGGAGTTCAAACACTTGAAAATATTAAAAGAGGAGGATTTGTTACAGAACATATGGGAGAAGTGATTGATTCAAAAACAGCATTAACAAGAACAATTTGCTACAACAAATTACATATAATGCCATTTTTTGACCTTGATTATGGTTTTACAGCAGCTGATTCGATTAATTGCTTGAGGTAATAATATTAATTAATATATTTATTTTTTAATTTTTGAGTTGATTTTACTAAACTACTAAATATATATATATATATATATATATTATTTTTAATATGTGATATACTACTACTAATAATAATGATGACAATGATAATAATAATAGTATTGATACAAATTATTACTGTAATATTAGCAGATTCCTAAATCATTCATGTAATCCCAATCTAATCACCATACCAGTAAGATATATATATATCTATAATTTATTTATAGATAAATTGAATCTTTATCATAAATAAATTAGTTACCCTTGTTATTGTTATTATTGTCATTAGTTCTTTGTTGAAAATCGAGACTTAAAAAGCCAAAGGATTGCATTTTTTGCAGTACGTGATATAGACAAAATGGAGGAACTAACAATAGATTACAAGATGAAAGGTGGTTCTTTCGAATGCTTGTGTAACACTAAAGAGTGCAGGTTCCGTATACATTACACTACTCTGATTACATAATAATAATATTTATAATTAATAATTAATTATTTTACTAAAAAATTAGATTCAAAAAAAATAAAAATAAAAAATAAAAATGGAGGAATGGCTTTTAATTAAAAAATTCTCTTATCTACCAATTATGAGCAAATAAAACATTTGATCAATCAACCAACCAATAGGGTGATAAATGATCTTCATTGAAAAAACGTAGTGATTGTTTTTTGTGTGAAATAATAATAATAAAAAAAAATAAAAAAATCGAACTGATTAATTTAGAATGAATAAATACGGGATAAGAAACACAAAAGATAATTTTTTAATATAAATAATAAATGAAAAAAAAATTTCTTTTGATAATTACTATTAAATGTGAAAATTGATATTATCGATGATTCAGCTTTACTAGAATGCGAGTATGTATAATAATAATTTCAATTGAAATATTTATTAATTAATATTGGGTTCATAACTTACTAAAATGAGGAAATGAAGAAATAAAACAATGACGATAAGAAATATGAAGTAAAGGACAACCTTAAAACTTACATGGTAATTTCAAGCCTTTTCCAAAGTTGCATTGACATTTAATTGTGTGTAGGAACAATGAAGTACATAAAATCATACAGATGGAACCTAAAAACGAGATTGGTAAATCTCTTTGGTCAGAAAGAAAATATTTTATTTACAGTCTTTATATGCCGGAAAACATGCCCGAAAGATAATAATAAACAATATTGTAATAGTAATAGTAATAGTCGTCATGAAGAACTTAAATTGTAAATCAAAAAGGTTAAAAAATGAAAGTAATACACACCTTACATTTATAACATATTGTATCTTCAGTAAAATTTGTAACATTGCCTATTCAAGTAAATAGGCAATTAAAACTCATCACGGAATCACGGAATGGAAGAGGTGATCATTATGCAAATTTTATAAGCGCAGTACTTAGATTATCATTTTTTTTTTGATATAAAGTTAAACTGTCCCGAAAATTTTGTGCGTTCGTTATAATCTAACACTAATACTAATAGTCACAGGACATGTCACATCAATTGATTTTTCTATATGTGAAAACAAGATTTTAAGTTAAACGTCGCAATGAGCGAGCGACGGCACGTGCACGAATTTATTTGTAAGTATTTTAATATTATATATAATAAACAAAGCAATAATAATAAAACAAAAACGACGGATTGTTTTTCTTCGCATGAGAAGGAGTAGTAAACGCCAATTAACTAAATATCAATTTAATATTAAATTACTTGTTAAACCTTTTTTTTTTTTAAAAAAAAAATTACAAATGCAGAAAAGATTGATTTGTTCCACATAATAAATTTTTACCGCCTTATCATATTTTGCAACCCTTCACTTCAGTATTAACTTTTTCCAATCTTTTATATTCTTCTAATGCTGCTTTGAGACCTTTAATTGAGCATAGTCAAAACCGAGAATATGCAAGTTTTTAAACGACTAATTGCAACGTATATTCGTCATTCAGCAAATATGTTCTCATCAACATTCAATAACGCGGTTGGGCTTGTTTTTATATATGGCGCTTCACTAATTACACTGTCAATGGAGGGGATGGTCTTAATGAAGCACGTAGATAAAAAAATGGATGACATGTTTTTTTTTTAATTAGTTATTTTTGTTTTTTTAACGAAAGAATATTATGAATTTGATCAAACAATTAACATTCCTTCATTTTATATTCATTTTATTACCCGAATTTAGAAGGCATTTAATTCTATTTTAAGAAATTTATTTTTATAAATTAATTAAAATGTCGAACCATAATTTTATCTATCATTATATAAAACAAAGGGACGGAAGGGATGTAATTCATAGTCAGATTAAGCATTTTTTTATCGGCCCGACATCTTTTCTTTCTTAGAACTTTCATCTTTTTAAAAAAAAATTTTGCCAACGCTTAACATTAACTATATATACTAAGAATATTGGCGAAATACTTTGCAGGGCGAGGAATTATTTCGTTGTATTTGACGAAATGTGACGAAATTGACGTTGACCAATTATACAACCAATTTTTCATAACCAGTGATCAAAGGTATGGCCAAATATTAATTTTATATATAACAGTATAGCGGTGTCACCAAAAAAATGATTACCTTTTATCTTATCATCATGATAAAAAAAAAAGAGAATAATCACCATGGTAAATATCCAACGTTACTCTACATAATGAATTGTTATATAAAATCATTAAAACCCTAGGTTCTCAAAAAATGTACTTTTAGCATATTCGTCGATTTTGTTTGGACCGCAAAATTCAGTACGGCATGATCATAACGTTATGAATACCTTATAATCCATTAGTTTTGAGGTAGTGCCGTTGATTTGACGGGCTATTGAATAGTAAAATGGTTTTTTTTTTTTGTAGAGTAAATAAATTTTTTAGGGTTAATCATCACTCTACTGACCAGTTACACACACAATAAGATATACTGTACATGTAAGCTCATTAAGTCGGATGCAACAATCAATTGTTTAAAATAAATAAATGACCGACCTATCGAGTTTAAATGTGTGTAGGGTTTGAAAGAAGGCACAAAAAATAAATCGGCTGTATGGTAATTACGTACTACCAGCAATTTTCCCATCTCTATCCTTGTCCGAAGTTGACGCATGATGTTAATATATTGGCTGAATGTTCGCACTATATAAAACAATCAATATATGTATAGGAATCAATCAGCAAGTATCATAAATATCTGAATTGATTGGCTAAATTAATTTCGTCGATTTCGTCAAAAGATCCTTGGCGATAAATATAAATTTCGTCATGTACAATTTCGTCAACCATTCTTAATTAATTAATTTTTTCACGACACAATCATTTGAAATTTCCTTTTTTTTTCGAAAAATTCCTTTTTTTAAACAAATTCTACATGAAAAATGTCATTTTTAAAGTTAATACGTCGCATTAAATTAAATTCATCATATTCTTTTGTTAATTAATGAAAACTTTGAATTAGACAAAAAATCCCGTGATTTTGATGAAAACTTTGAGCTTGGTAAAAAACTTCAAAATTCCGTTGAAACATGAATTAAGTAAGTCCATTTAAAATATCTTGAATATATATACACATCGAGACTGTGTTAAAAAGCTATTAATATATAAAACTTAAATCATTTAAAAGTTGACAATAATAATGCCCGTTCCAATCCTTCTTTAGCACGTAAAATAATAAAAGTAAGTTATACCATTTTCTAAACTCGAGTATTTAAAGTTGCAGATAGTAATGTTAGCCGGCTTAGCCGGCTAAAATTTTTTCTTAACGTTCATTTTACGTCTGGGATTTTAGTGCAGAATTCAATGGCATAGACATTTAGTTGAGATGGATTCACTTAGAATGACAAAAAAAAACATACATTTGCTCAAAAAACAAAATACGATATGTATATCGTAACAGGATAAAAGTCATATTTTAATTCGAATTATTATTATTCGTTCTATTCGAATTATTCGAATAAAACTTTCAATATAATTCGAATACTCAAATTCATAATGAAAAAAAACAAATAATTTGAACCATTAA